ATTATACAGTCGTAAAAAGGCAAATTTGCCTTTCTCTGTTCGCTGGCTTTTAGGTAACAATCACGGGACATTGAGAACGCTTTGGTTAATTGTCTTTATTGCTCTTAATTAGCTAGTGTCATATTATTTTACACAAGCCGGATTACTGAAACTATATTATTGGAAGTATATTTGTACAAAATTCTTATAGTGTGATAATAGAGTCTAAGGGCTAAATTAACTGGAAAGTTATCTAGTTATTTGTCTACTTGGAACTCAATAACAAAAACAGCCGCTTGCRAATTATAAATGAGGTGATATTTTGCAGAAATATTGTCTGGGGGAAATATTTTTCTTATACTTTTTCCTAATTGTATTTAGTCATTGGTACCTAAAATCCYTGGTAGAGTAATTGGTAATTGAAAGTAATAAGAGGTTCAAATACACACTAAAGAAAACAATGGAATTAGGGTCTACTAATGTGTATTAATCATAAGAAGAGATAACTAGCTAAAAACTAGTGTGAGCTGCGTCGGTGTTTCTAATGAAACAGTAATGATAAAAAGGTAAATAATACACCGCCAAAAGATGAAAAAACTTACTGACGTTTCGGACGCTAGTCCTTTCTCTTTTCCTCCGACGAAGGACTAGCGTCCGAAACGTCAGTAAGTTTTTTCATCTTTTCACGGTGTATAATTTACCTTTTTATCATTACTGTATTAATCATTAATTCYTTATATCTATTTCAGGGGTCTTAATGCTTTCACTCTACACCCGAATGAGAATTTGTRAATGATCTTGATTTTTGAAGAAAAMAAAAGCTATAGAATATTTAACTTATATACAACCCGTGTGAGCTGGGTTTATGACGCTCGTTCGATTTCGTCTAATAGTCTTTCGATTTTATCTCTGCTTCAGGGACTTCCTGATGAGTTAAAGGCGCTTCACATCAGTCTTTATGTTAGACATTAAATGAATGTGAAGGTCTTGCAATATGAGCTCAGTTTCGCTCACCATTTTCAACATTTCTTGTTTGTTTTAGTGCTCGAGTTTAACTACTACAGCAGCAATGGCGGATCTTTTGGACAGGCACTGAAAGTCAATGAACAGTGAAAGATGTTCCTATAAATCCATATGGCTCGACAAGCTCTCGATTGATAAACAGGTGCTCAAATTTCTGTGACGAGTTGCATGTGTAGTATTAGTCCTCTCACCGATTGGTAGGCYTGTGCGCTTGATTATTTATGTAAATTCCCGGTTGGGCTATTTTAAGTAACCGGATGCAGTTTAAATTTCGCCTTACCCTACTCCCGYGCGTCATCAACTTTCGCGCGCGCGCTCTTTCCGTTTATTGTTTTGATCGCTWAAAACGAAACGGAAAGAGCACGCGCAAAAGTTGATGACGCACGGTTGTAGGGTTAGGCGAAATTTAAACTGCATCTGGTTACTAAAAATATAGCCCAACCAGAAGTTTCCTCTCTTACTTATGCTCTCTTGGTAATAAAGAGTATATTTAAACAAATTGTTACTGAAAATACTGCAATTCTAGAAACTTATTTAAGATTAGAAAATACTTAAAATAAGCAGTAAAGCCGGACTATCAACAAGGAATTAATCTCAGTATCTATTTAGTCTTTTGCGCTTTTTAACTCGTGAATACGTAGCGTAAAAGCGAGTCATTGTGAGGGGTCTGAATATGCAAATGTATCACTGACTTACTCACTATAGTGTAAGCACATCGATAACTAAACGATTGTCAGTCGTATTAAATCATTTGCGATCGATATTTACACGATTGAAGTTTTACTAATTCGTACATGCTTACAAYAGCTTATGAGCATTCCACAAATTGCATTACTAAATACCTCTTCGGCCTTAGCATCTATTTTTGCAAAGATAATTAAGCATCCATAATAAGAAAGTGTCACCCCCTAAGCCACTTTCCTTTTATTTTGCTATTTGGTTTGCTATTTTATTTCTTAGCTTTATGTTCTTTCGCGGGTAATAACATACATGAAAAAATTACTCAATTCTAATTGGCTTAGAGCAGTGTTGTTCAAACATAATTCAGTGCAAAAAAGTGTAAAACAGTGCAGAAAAGTATAACACAGTGCAAATTACAAACGGCATTCTCGCTTTTGATTGGATAACAAACAAWWGAAAACGATTTTAGCCAATAAGATGACAGATTTTTATGACGAAAAGTTTGAGGAAAATTTAGCAAAGCGAGTTGGAAAAATGGCAGCTATTTTATCTTATATTTGGTCTATAAAATCCCAAAACTGAGCCGCAAAGTTTTCTGAACACGTTCAACAACTCTATATTTAGGTATGATTTTTTTCAATATACAACTCCAGTTAGCTGCAAAGTCAGCCAATCCAAATGTCTTCATTCATAGTGATTCAGATTTAATTTGCAGTAAAAAAAACTTTTTTTCAATTAACATATAGCCAAATTTTGGTTTAAAATAAGTACAAAAGCTCTTGAATTACGGGTTATTGAAACCAAATTTGCATTTAATACAGTTGGTTGTACACGAACGAATTTCATAAAATATTATGCGTGGAATATTTTACATATTTTCGACTCTTTCTTTTGTAATTTTTCATGCATGTTATTATTATAACTAATAAAGCAATTTCTCGTTCAATTTGAAGTAATTTCCTTTCGTGTGTTTTTCAAAAACTTTGACTAAACAGAATCCCAAACTGAACTCAAAACCTTGTCATTAACTATACTAATTGCTATGCACTCTGTTCTGCAGAGCCTTGTTTGTTAGATTTTGTAGCTTTTCCTTTTAAACACCTTTTTGAATTGTATTGATAACTTCTGATCGTTGGTCGGTCGGGCTGGTGTGTCGTTTTTATTACTTTTTTTTTTTTTTTTT